AATCCTGGTGCAGCACCGTGCGCCTTACTGTGACAAGTGTCATGTGAATGACCTCAACCAGTAAGGGAATACACATTTTTCCCCCTCGTGTTGCTTGTTGCCAGATGTTATCCAATCAGTCTGTGGGTTGATTCAATGCTTAAAACTCTTTAAATAAGAATTTTCTGAAACATCAGTGGAAAAAAACAACATAAAAGGAGGCCATAAAAGTGTGCAGTATCTATTTCTACTCCAGTTCTCTTGCTCTTTAGCATTGCCTCGTTGTTCTGTTTAGCCGTGTATTGCTTGTAATTTTGTTTCTAGTTAATAATTAGTTTTTGCCTCCATCTGTATTTTCATTTATTGTTTCGGTTTTTACCGTCTAGTTAGTTATTTTGTTTAAGTAACTTTTCATTTCCAGCTAATTGTTACTTTATCGTCTTAAACATGTTCCCTCCTGAACTTTTCTTATGTTTCTAGTATGTTTTTTTCACTAGCTTCTTTTTGATAGTTGCAGTTTGTTTATGGTTTGTGTTGGATTGTTGGTTCTCTGGTTTCTGACCACCTTAAGTTGTCTGGTAATCTTGTTTTGAGTAACTTTTGTCTTCTCTGTAGTTGCTTCGTCTTTCTCGTTAGCTGATTGTGGCTCAGGTTAGCCTTGTATACCTCGCTTTCTATTTTTTTCTTCCCGTTTGTTTCATTGGTGAATCAGGTAGCAGGTGATTGAAGCTTTGTCTTGCTAGTCGTTGTATTTTTAGTTAGCTTTTCATTCAGTCTCTCTAGCTTTTCCCACTAGTCGCTCTGCTGTCTTCTTTCTCAGAAGGCTTGCTTTGAAATATTTTAACATGTCCCCCTGTGTTCACTGGTCCGTTCCAAATTATGAATTGAACTATGAAGAGGAACTGAAAAGTGAATCAGGTTTTCTTGGCTCACAGTGGGCCTCTCAGGAGTGACTGTCCATGTGAGCAAATCCACATACGAGGCAGAGTCTGTGTACTTCCCATATTTCTGATATGTTCATGAATTCTGTTGAATTAAATAGCATCAAATGCCCTACTCATGGTACCCTTACCGCTCAGTCTTTACATTTTTGTGATTTTTTTCTTCTTTGAGTATGAAGTGTCCACTCTTTCTTCATCAGGACGATGGATGGCGTGAACGAGGTGGGGGAGGTGCGGGTGTCCCGCGTGCAGATGGAGGGAGACAGCGAGAGTCAAACTCCTTCTGAACATAAGGTAGCACAAAGTTGTCTTTCTCTTTCAGTGGTGCTTGTTTGATGCACCGTGGACTCGTCTCAAGTCGACAGTTGGCTCTGTGGTTTTCTTTCTGGCACATTTGAGGTCTAGGTTGGTAGATGAGTCACAGTGAAGCTGCTTTATCACTGTCCAGTCTAGCTTTCATTTAAAAGTGCAAGAAAAGAGATAAATAATAACAAATTA